AGTGATTTTATAGCATAGATAAGGCGGCCATCATGCAAGTTTTTTTTTTTTAAAGCTGAAATTTCCAAATGTCTAAATAAAAATATTCACAGACATATATTCTACGAGATCGTGATGTATTTGAAAATATAATCATTTTTAAGGAATATGATTAATTGTAATGAAGGAACAGGATTAGTTATATTAAAATAATGACGTAAATTTTATTGAAAGGATGAAATTAATTTCATTGAGTGAATAAGATCTAGTTGAGACAACTATATATTATCCACAATCCACGTAACCACAGCATTAAAACCACATTCAAGCCACATCACGTATAGGTACAACAACCACATGTAAATCTTAAATCCACATAAAAATTATAATCTTTTCTAAACCAAGCTTTAACACCAAATTTAAGCCACATAACCACATCTAAATATTGAAACAAAACAAAAACCCACGTCTAAATTACGCGACCACACCTAAACCACACAACCAAACCTATATAGGGTACTAGAACAAAACAAAAATACCCAATCGAAGCACTAAATCCACTTTTACACTAAAATGTCACAATTACGCATCTATAAAAAAAAAAAAAAAAAAAAAAAACAACCACGCACTTATCCACACAGGGAACAGAAGTTAAATCATTTTAATTTTCTGTAGCCACCCCCTCCCCCACAAACATACACCCTCCCCAGCCTCCCTCCCCCCCCCCCCTCCAACACACACACACAACCTTATGCACCATGACAAATCAACAATTTCTTAAATCCAACACGAAAATACAAGTCGCAGAGACCTGCCTAGAAAACAAATTCCATAGCCTTAAGCAAAAGAGATTCTGTATACAGAATCGTCCAGAGCATATTCAAACAAAACAGGCTAAATCTCAGAGCCCAGTCCAAGAAAAGAAATCTCAGAGCCTCCCCAAACAAAGAAACAAATCACAGAGCCCAATACAAAGAAATAAATCTCATAGCCCAATACAAAGAAACAAATATCAGAGCCCAATACAAAAAAAAACGAATCTGAGAGCCCAATACAAAGGAGCAAACTCCTGAGCCGTGTCCAAAGGAAACAAATCTCTGAGCCCAATCAAAGAACACAAATCTGAGAGCCCGAAGCAAAAAGTTACAAGTCACTGAGCCCGTACAAGCTGAATAATTCACTGACCAAACCGAGTGACCAAAAACGAAACAGTAGCAAAACAAATCAGGCCACTTCCGGTTTCCGGTGAAACCCTCTGTTTTCGGTCACGTCTGAATGACGTCACGAGAAGAAAATGGCAGAGGCACAAGAACAATTTGGCCAGGATGGCGTTTATCAGTATCTGATTACTCGAAGCCCAGGGCGGGGTTAGGAAGTGAAAAGGGGAAGGGACGGAGGGGGGGGGGGGTGTGGAACTGGAGAAGAAGGGGTAGGGGCGGTTGGAATACATTTTTTTATCCAATCTGTTGTGGATAGTTCGATACTCGGACCAGAAACCACCACGGGCTGTTTGAAGTTAATCTAAAAGTTTTGAGGTCCTTTGAAATCTTGGCTGACGATGTTAGTTGTTAATTACTTAATTTAATATTCAGGACTCAGATCTAGGCGAACATACAACTATTAAAAAATGAAATTTTCTTTAAAAACAAATGTATATTTTTAAAAGTTATATTTTAAACCAAATGTAATGTTAATTTTGTATTTTGTGGATCAACCTAATTTTGAGATTAAAGGTTTGTGGTGTAAATGGCTATAGATTTAGATTTGTGACTTGTCCCTTCTCTTCGATTTTTTATACGATTATTTATACAGCACTGCGACACTCATTCTTTGCTTTGGTATCTGAATGTTTCTAGCATTGAGCTCAAACACTTGTATTTTCGGTTCACGGTATGAGAAAGGGAGTCACGACGGTGAGCGATGTATGTGTAGAAAGACAGTTACAATTTATTTAAACTATGGTCAATGGTTTAAATTATGGTGACAATACTCAAAATAGAAACTCGCGGAAAAGGGGGAGGGGGTGAGTAAAAGATGTTGGCAGAAGACTAAAATTCTAGCGACTAACGATACAGATTTAGAAAAACTCGATTTTTTAAATTCTCTTTGTGTCCTGCAAGGATATTTTCACAGTTTAAGGGATTGTGAGATAGGGGGTTAATGCGTGGCTAAGAAATAATTGTTCCCATCAAAATGTTAAAGCTTTAAAACTATTGCCCGTCAATTATTCTTAATTTATCACCGAATTGTTTTTAATCAGTCGGACCATCTTGTCCGCCGGCCGAGAAAGGGAATTAAACGATATCGTGTTCACGTTGCTACAAAAATTTGAAGGGGACACAACTCATGTGAAAAAATCGTGACGTTCTGGAGAAGCTACAACTTTATTTTTAACCTAGTCTGTGATCTCTCGCCACAAGGACGTGCTGATTTTCTTTCATGTGTGCTCACCCTTCACTCTGACCATCTCTCCACGCGAACTAGGTCACTGACTTTTTTTTCCGGCCAATCAGCTGCGATCGCCGGCACAAACGCAACCGGAAGCCGGACGCGACTTTCAGCAGATGTCACATCCGTCAGCAGAGACGCCGGGCGTGAAAATTGACGTCTGCAGTATTTGTTTAGAGTGATTTTTTTGGCTCGACGGTCCCTTGAGGCGCCCTGACCGTTTCTACACCAGCCCAAAGCTCCGTGATCGATGAAGCCAAGGGAAGCTAACTCTACATGAAATATTATATTATCGATCTTTTTTTTTCTTTCTCGAGCCGTCGCCCCATTTAATACTAAACATCATCATTTTCAATTCAATTAAAATGGCCCCTTTTCCTGAAATCTATCTTTTTTTTTTAAACCAGTCTGTTCACTTTAACTCTACTTTTATTTTTACACTCCGTTGGTTTTTTCCCCCCTGAACAAGTTAAGCGAGAATATCTAGGGGACGTAAATGTGATGCGTAAAGAAGGTCGGTGTCGTGTGTGAGGGGGAAGGGGGGTGTTCGCCCTGGGCGGTATTTTATTTTTAAGAAAGACGCAAGACAAAATCTTGGTCCCCATCGCTTTGAAACTGAGATCAAGATAGAAGCTGGTCACGCCACAAACAATCCTCGTCAAAACAATCGCCAACATTTTAACTGTACATTAGCTCCACGAGACACAAGTCTGTTGTAGGCTTTGTCTTCTACAAGTACTATATTTTTGTCAAACAGTATGATTAAAAAAACCGGCTAAAATAATAAGAAAAAAAATATAGTGTCAGAGGAGAGAATGCACATAGTGTCACACGGGATTTAGGGTTCCAATTCGAATTAGCTATCTGCCTTTTAAATTGAGTATTTTCATAATGAATTAAGGTTTAAACATACACAAGCGCACACACGCACAATAACATACTCATTTACACGCAGGCACGAAAGCATCCTTTCAAACACACACACACATATATATATATATATATATATATATATATATATATATATATATATATATATATATATATATATATATATATATATATATATATACGAGAAAAATGGCCCGTTGAGGAAGGGTACAACGGGCGCTAGGCTGATAGTGCTGTCTCTTTTCTCTAAACTAAAACCAACCCACCCCCCCACACACCGTCCCCCACCCCCACCACCCCCACCCCCCCACCCCCACACACCACCCCCCACCCCCCACACACTACCCCCCACACACCGCCCCCCACCCCCACCCCACCCCCAACCCCCCCCCCCCCCCAAAAAAAAACATGTCTACCGTCCCATTCAACGAAATATAATTATATACTTTTTCCAGTGTCCGCCCCCTCCCAGAAAATTCTACCCCCGCCCCCGAAAATTTCAAGTACCCCCACCCCTCTCCGGGGAGGAAAAAGTCTGAAAGAAACACTGGTGTCGCGCTTAGCCACTACCCGAAGAATTGCATTAAAGAAATTGCAAGAAAACCACTTTTTAGATTAGACACATTAATTAGGCGGTAATTTTATTATAGTATCGATGAAGAAATTTCTTTTGAGTTAGGGAGGGGGGGGGTGGGGCTCAGACGTTCTTACGCGGGGGTGGGGCTTCGCCCCTACCCGAAGAATTGTATGAAAGAAACTCTTCACGCAAACCACTTAGATAAGACAAAATTTCCTTTTATTCAATGTTTACTCTCCGGTTTGAGATTATTTTCTACTCTGTGCTAAATGTGTCGACGTCATACTTCGTTTTTCGAAATACTATGCATGTTTTTAATTTCCTTGTGTTTTCTCTAGAGCGTTCTTGTCAGACAGAGCGTTCTTGTCAGACAGAGCGTTCTTGTCAGACAGACAGCGAAACTATTATATAGAATATATATATATATATATATATATATATATATATATATATATATATATATATATATATATATATATATATATATATATATATTCATATCTAATTAAAATTTATGCATTTTGTTTGTTGTTGGGTCTGTGTTTGATTCCCACTTTACTTTGTTTTTTCAAGTAATTATATCTTTGTATCCAACCAGGAAGCACCAAAACAACATCACATCAAAATTCGGACAAGATGTACAGACGGGACATCCAGTATTAGATCTAATTCCATTTAAGTTATCTACATTGTCCCAAGACTCCCCGGCGCTGCGGAATATATCTTGTAGCCTCCCCTTTCTACGACTGTCTGAGGGGGTTTTGGGGAGTTTTGTTATTCAAATGCTCTCACGGAAACCTTGGCTTACATGGCATTAGAGTTTGTGTTTCCTGGTGTATGGGGTGTTTCATTGTTCTGGTGTAACTCGCTTATTGTTTTGGACGCGTGTTCTATCAACATGTCGACCATACTGTTGTTATGCAACAAGTTGTGTCAACTTGTTCTGCTTTGATAACGTTTTGCCAGACAAATAGAATTAGCATCTGCTGGCGACAAATCCGAAAAGACAGAAAATGGATACACGCTGCATACAAATACATGTGGTATGACGCCAACATGTTACAGAGACAGTGTGTGCAGATGTCTGGACAACTGAATTGTATAATTATATACCTAGCTTACTCAATACAGGGAAACTGTGGGCCGATTTCTGGAGAACTGAATTGTATGTTGTATCACGATGTTGTCTGTATCCGCTTATCACAACAACTATAGTCTCACCATTTCTCTGCTCAGTCTCACCATTTCTCTGCTCAGTCTCACCATTTCTCTGCTCAGTCTCACCATTTCTCTGCTCAGTCTCACCATTTCTCTGCTCTGTCTCACCTTTTCTCTGCTCTGTCTCACCATTTCTCTGCTCAGTCTCACCATTTCTCTGCTCAGTCTCACCATTTCTCTGCTCTGTCTCACCATTTCTCTGCTCTGTCTCACCATTTCTCTGCTCAGTCTCACCATTTCTCTGCTCAGTCTCACCATTTCTCTGCTCAGTCTCACCATTTCTCTGCTCTGTCTCACCATTTCTCTGCTCTGTCTCACCGTTTCTCTGCTCAGTCTCACCATTTCTCTGCTCTGTCTCACCATTTCTCTGCTCAGTCTCACCATTTCTCTGCTCAGTCTCACCATTTCTCTGCTCAGTCTCACCATTTCTCTGCTCAGTCTCACCATTTCTCTGCTCAGTCTCACCATTTCTCTGCTCAGTCTCACCATTTCTATACTCACTTTATCTCACCATTTCTCTGCTCACCTTAGTTTAACTATCTGTGTGTTCACCTTAGTCTCACCATTTCTCTGCTCACCTTAGTCTCACCATTTCTATACTCACTTTATCTCACCATTGTTCTGCTCACCCTAGTCTCACCATTTCTCTACTCAACTTAGTCTCACCATTTCTATACTCACTTTATCTCACCATTTCTCTGTTCACCTTAGTCTAACCATTTCTCTGTTCATTTTAGTCTCACCATTTCTCTGTTCACCTTAGTCTCACCATTTCTCTGCTCACCTTAGTCTCACCATTTCTCTGTTCACCTTAGTCTCACCATTTCTCTTCTCACCTTAGTCTAGTCTCACCATTTCTCTGCTCACCTTTGTCTCACCATTTCTCTGTTCACCTTAGTCTCACCATTTCTCTTCTCACCTTAGTCTAGTCTCACCATTTCTCTGCTCACCTTTGTCTCACCATTTCTCTGTTCACCTTAGTCTCACCATTTCTCTTCTCACCTTAGTCTAGTCTCACCATTTCTCTGCTCACCTTTGTCTCACCATTTCTCTGTTCACCTTAGTCTCACCATTTCTCTTCTCACCTTAGTCTAGTCTCACCATTTCTCTGCTCACCTTTGTCTCACCATTTCTCTGTTCACCTTAGTCTCACCATTTCTCTTCTCACCTTAGTCTAGTCTCACCATTTCTCTGCTCACCTTTGTCTCACCATTTCTCTTCTCACCCTAGTCTCACCTCTTCTCTCTGCTTACGTTAGTTTAACCTTAGTCTCACTACTTCTCTGCTCACCCTAGTCTCACCTCTTCTCTCTTCTCACCTTAGTTTAACTGTGTGTTCACCTTAGTCTCACTACTTCCCTGTTCATCTAATGTCACCTGTCCTGTTAATGATGTTGACGTTGATTAACATTTCTCAGATAATTACTGACTTCTGCGCCTGACACTCTTTAATTATAGAGAGAACCGGCACCAGGCCAGTAATTAGAATTAATTTTTTAAACATCAGATTTCTCGGGACTGAGAGGTGTGTAGATGGTTGTTGGTGGCGTGTGGTTTGTGACAGTTTGAAGGTGTGACAAGTTTGAGATTAGTGTGGTTTGTGACAGTTTGAGATTAGTGTGGTTTGTGACAGTTTGAGTGTGTGTGACAAGTTTGAGATTAGTGTGGTTTGTGACAGTTTGAGATTAGTGTGGTTTGTGACAGTTTGAAGGTGTGACAAGTTTGAGATTAGTGTGGTTTGTGACAGTTTGAAGGTGTGTGACAAGTTTGAGATTAGTGTGGTTTGTGACAGTTTGAGATTAGTGTGGTTTGTGACAGTTTGAAGGTGTGACAAGTTTGAGATTAGTGTGGTTTGTGACAGTTTGAGATTAGTGTGGTTTGTGACAGTTTGAGATTAGTGTGGTTTGTGACAGTTTGAAGGTGTGACAAGTTTGAGATGAGTGTGGTTTGTGACAGTTTGAGATTAGTGTGGTTTGTGACAGTTTGAAGGTGTGACAAGTTTGAGATGAGTGTGGTTTGTGACAGTTTGAGATTAGTGTGGTTTGTGACAGTTTGAAGGTGTGACAAGTTTGAGATTAGTGTGGTTTGTGACAGTTTGAAGGTGTGACAAGTTTGAGATTAGTGTGGTTTGTGACAGTTTGAAGGTGTGACAAGTTTGAGATTAGTGTGGTTTGTGACAGTTTGAAGGTGTGACAAGTTTGAGATTAGTGTGGTTTGTGACAGTTTGAGATTAGTGTGGTATGTGACAGTTTGAAGGTGTGACAAGTTTGAGATGAGTGTGGTTTGTGACAGTTTTATAGTGGATGTGGTTTGTGACAGTTTTATAGTGTGGATGTAGTCAGTGGCGTAGCTACCGTAAAGCTAGCGTAGGCAAGGCATAGGTGCCCAAGGCAAATAGGGACCCTTTTTCGAAAGTTTGAGGGGGGAGTGCAAATCGAAAGTCTGAAGGGGGGGGGTGCAAATCGAAAGTTTGTCCCCAGTCTCCGGGAAGGATCGCTACGCCTCTGAGGGGCCCACTAACACTTTTTGCATAGGGGCCCAAAAATCCTAGCTACGCCACTGGATGTAGTCCGTAATTTCTTTCCCTTACTTGACTTCACTGCCTCCTTTCACTTGACTTAACTGTCTCCTCTGACATGATGTAACTGCCTCCCCTAACTGGTCTTAATTACGTCCCCTAGCTGGACGTAATTAAGCCCTGTCTTAAGACACAAATATAACTTATCCCGATGTTATCCTTATTATAACCTGACCAAATCATTCATTAATCTCATAGCTATTATCCGGTTTATCCATCCGCCTTTTTATCTACATTTACTCTACGTCTGATCCTTATCTACCTTAGCACTCACAAACGACACTAAAAAGGGAGACAAACTTAGCTAAAAACAGATTTTCCAATCGATTACGATAACAGTGTTTCGGCAATAGAACTTCATCAGGTTTCGCAAAAAAATAAAAAAATAAAATAAAATAAATTACAAGAGAAACGTTAAATCTTACTTAAATGTCTTCGTCAATTACTCTCGGCATTAGCTGCCAATTAATCTTGCACTTAAAAAAACAAATATTCTTTTCTTTATAGCTAGAAGCTCGATTGTCTTTCAACGATGAGTAGTTTCCGAAATGTTTAAAAAATAATGTTTAACTTAAAAAAAAAAGATCTATCATATGTTAGGGAAACAGGCTGGCAAATAAATATGCTGATGATTTTCTTAATCCTGCTATAACTATTTTATTTTTGTTTGTCATACTGTTTGTCACTTTTACTTTGATAATGATAGATTGACTTGAAATATTCATTAGGTTAATATGTTAAAATAATTATGTAAGTATTCAGTTTTACCATTCATTTTTTTATTTTCAATTTCTGATTATTGTTTATAAAAATTAGGGACATTGCTACAGTTTGTTTTTTATTAAGATAATGTTAAATTTAAAATATCTTTTTGAGACTAAAACTTAAATAGAAAACATGTCAAAATTTAAATAGAAAACATGTCAAAATATTGTACCATTAAAGTTATTTATTCTTTATGTGTAAGTAGGCTATTTACTTTTGAAATTGCCAAAACAACATTCAAGTTTTAGGTTTGAAGATAATGTCCTTGTTGTTTAAAGACATCATTTCACCCTTTTTAATGCACAACCATTGTAATAAAAGTTACCATTTTAAAAAAAAAAAAAAAAAAACTTAAAAAAAAAAAAAAAAAAATAATTAAAAAAAAATTAACTTAATAAAAAATTATTATGTTTCAAACTAATCATAATTATTTTTTTCAATTGTTAAAAAAAATTATTTTAAAATGTTACAAAATCTAAGGCGTAATGCAGACATCAATGATTGGGAATGCGTGTTGCCATGCGTGGCTTGTGAATATCGCTCATGTTAATGGCGATGCATTTTTTTTAAAACAAACATTACAACGAAGAGGGAAAAAAATAGTTTTATAACAAGATAAAAATTATTTTTTTAACTTCATTCTCGCACATAAAATCTCAAAAATAAATTTTAAATTTATTTATTTATTTGTAAACATTGTTCACCTTCGCTTCCAAATGAAAATATTTGTCCGTCCGCAGCTCTCGTCATAGTTTATCATTCAATCTTCTCTACTGACCAACATAAAGAACTGACCTGTGACTCAATGGCCCTATGGACGGATACAAATGTAGATATAACTGGGCTAGATTGTGTACCGATAGTTATTGATCGATGTCTCAGTCTTGGACGCTAGAGTAAGTGTAGTTGGCAGCTAGTGGTTGCTGGAAATATTGTGTGGTGGATAGAGATTGAATGGTTTTGTGATGGATAGTCCAGTCAGCGTCCCGTCTTTGTATACATACGGTATATATATATACATATATATATATATACATATATATATACATATATATATATATATATATATATATATACATATATATATATATATATATATATATATATATACATAAATATATATATTAGATTATATATATATATATATATATATATATATATATATATATATATATATATATACACACTAAGATATATTGAAAAGTTAAGATAAAGATAGGGAGCTCACGTAGAGCTCAGAATTAGCAAGTGCAGTTTCTATCAAGCATGTAGTGTTTACTTTTATGTCTAGTATTCATTGAAAAGAAAGAGTACATTTAACGTAAAAAGAGATACAGTCTATTTTTTTTATCCCAGCAAGATTGTTAGAAAAGTAGAAATATCATAATGAAATTTTCTGACTGAATAAGTTGAAAGGAAAACAAAATCGAACCGTCACGGTTGAATACACATTGAGTTCGCTGAACCGTGGTCGAATGATTTACATGTGTTTGGTATCCGACCCTTAGCTTAATTCTTACTGTACCGCAGTGCGTTGTCCTCGCTTAATCTAACATGATGAAACCCGCAGACTCAAATACCCCGAAGGACGGAAAAATGGGATGTGAATCAAAGACGTGGACGGAAAAAAATGGAATGCCAATAAAAACGAGGACGGAAAAATGAAATATCAATCAAAGACGAAGACGGAAAAAATGAAATATCAATCAAAGACCTACCCGATCACGATCTGACTTTTTGAAAGACAAATCAAAGCATCCAATCTGGTACAGCATCTCGTCCGGTCCAGTTTCTACCATAGACAAATCTCACGTTGGACCAAAGTACAGAAAAAAAATTTTTTTTTAGTTTTACGTATTGTGTTTTATACATTTTATCAGAATGTCTTAACTAATAACCCGGGAATGCCACGCTATTCATTCATTCCTATTTTGTTCAAATTCCGAAACTGACAGTCGGAATCAATTGTTAATACACGTTAGACAACCCCTGTGTGCAAATATTGAAACAAATCATCATCTTTACCTCAGGATTCTCTCCCCTAACTCAATCATCTGTCAGTGGTTCTGTTTTCTATTAACTTCATATGCTCAGTGAAGCCGGGATGCAAAATGTCTACATACGAGAATC